TTACGGGGTTTCAGGTTTATAGGGTTTGCAGGTTTGACAGGGTTAAAAACCCTGAACCATGAACTGTATGAAAAGGGTCTGTGGGGTTTATGGGGCCTAGATCTTAGGGTAGCTACATGGTCTCTTACTATGAGCCTTTTATCATCTGGCCCTTTATACACCCGACCGAGTCCAAGGATCCATACTTCAGAACCTTTACAAAGAAGTTATGGGAACCATCTGAAGGGACCATGTAAATTCCTGCTTTAACAGCACCTACCCGAGAGCTTGCTCGGTAGCTCACAGCTTCTTTTGGGAAATCGCCTCCCAGGACATGGTTTTTCGTTGTAGGACACCTAAGAGTCGGATGAGGCGTATGATTATGACAACTCAACCCTAAACCCTAAACCCTAAACCCTACGAAAAAACACGCAGGTTGTGGGTTCTAAACGAAGTTTGTGCAACACCCGCCGGTCTTGGTGTCGGGCAAGTGACAACTGCAAGCATGGCCGAGTTCAATCTGACTCCCCCCCCCCCCCCCGGCCCCTCAGATTTAGGGTTTGGGTTGAGGGTTTATAGGGTTTATGGGGTTTAGGTGCCAGTTTGTCACAAACACTAGTACGATGCTTACAATGACCTGTCACGGTAGCCGCCCTGAAACCCAAACCCTAGACAAACAAGTCTCAAACTACCTACCATGACTGACGCGTCGCGCGTGCCCAAGAGTTCAGGAAAGTCTTGAATCGGGAAAGTGTTGAAACAACCCTAAACCATAAACCCGGAACCCTAAACGCGGCAAAGGCATCGCCCGTATCTTCCGCGTGGCTGCTTGATGGCACCCCTCTGTCTCAAAATCCCAAGGGCTACTTGTATTGTCCCAGAACTTTGAAACTGCCTGGAGGTACATGGTACTTGGTATCCCAATTATAACTGTTCAGGGTTCAGGGTTACTTGGAGGTTCATGGTGCTTAGTAACCCAGCTATAACTGTACTTATAGCCCAATGATAGCCCTATTAGGGTGCTTGAGGGGCTTATAAGTGGGTTAAAAGTGCAGTTCTAACTGGTCAATGAGTACCCTGAACCTCCAAGTAGGGCCCCTAAAACCTGCGGTTTAGGGTTTTAGGTTGGGATGTTCCCCCTTATACTAACAGACCTAACAGGGATTACAATAGGGAGCACCTTAATCCCTAGCAAGGACTGTTAGTATAAGGGGGAACATCCCAATTTTTAGGGTTTGGGGTTTATCTGGTTTCCAAGTCTCAGGCCAAAGGTTTCCGACGCAGCCAGATTTAGCGACCTATGGCGCACTGCTCAAAGTTGGTGGGGACTCCTACCCTATGCGGCTCCTGAACCTGAAGACCTTGTGACAATGCCCCCCAACACCCGGAACCTTGTCGTACCTTCACAAAGTGCACAGTACGTTGGCGTTTGCGTGCCTCCAATCTCGGCCATGACTCAACTTATGTTGGAAATACTCGGACCCCAAACTTGTCAGTCTTGTCAATCTCATTGGTTTACTTAATTTCTTATTGCAGTATACTACGCCAGCCACAAACCGGTAGGCACCCAAACAAAGAAAATGCCGTTAGAGGTCGAAGTTCTCTTCGTCTGATTGGGATCCCTCTGTAGGCCTTGGACCCACCCCTGGCGCCAGATAGGCCTTCCCCACGGGTTCAGGGTTCAAGAGGGTCGTAGAGGGTCATATGCATAGGAACAAACCCTAAACCCTAAACCCTACACCCCAAACCCTAAACCCTAAACCCCCGAAAAGCCTACGGGAGGCCCAATGCAACGGTAGCCCTTGGGAATAGGCCCCCCCTCATATAGGCAATCCTGTTCTTTGGTTTCCGTAGTTCCTTAATCTCGTAGAACTGCCTGTGCCTATCATGCTCCTTTCCCAGACCCCTTGGGAGGATCCAAAAAGTAGATCCCTGAAGCTTTCCTCAGAACGAACCCAATAGTAGCATAGGGTTTCTATTTCGGGGTTCTACTTTTTTGGATCCTCCCAGGGGTCTGGGTTGTGCCTTTCGTCAGTTCCGCTTCTCTCGGGAGCTCTCCCTCATGGCGCTCATGATCATTGACTCCATGCGATCGCTGATGTGGGCTGGGCCCTCAGTGACTCTGAGGGTAGTTTCATGGGCCCTTAATATGGTCCCAACCTCCATGAATGGGTTCTGATGTATGGGCCCTTATTTTGGATTGGGTATGTAAGGGGTATATAAGGGGTGTCCGTTTAAGGGCCCATACTACAGGACCATGTAACTCTAAACCCTAAACCCTAAACCATGTAACTACCCTTGACTGTGAGTCGGCCCGTGTCGCGAACAAAGCAAGGCCCTGCTCATGCTGCTTCTCATGCTACTTGGCTGAGTTTACTGGGAGAGTTCGTTGCTCTCTGAACACGTGCGGTTTAGGGTTTAGGACTTCGGGTTAGCAAGGAGTCCAGATGCAAAAGGGTTTAGGGTTTAGGGTTTGGGGTTTAGGGTTTAGGGTTTAGGGTTTAGAGTTTAGGGTTTAGGGTTCAAAGAGTACTTGTCCGACAGTCAGGAAAACCCCAGGCCAGCCGGAGTCGTACGTTTTCGTCAGAGACTAGGACCCAGAGGAGCCCCGTTATTCCCTTTGTGTTAGGCTTCAGGGTTTAGGGTGTAGGGTTTAGGGTTTAGGCTAAGTAGGACCCAGAGTAGGCCCTTGCTCCCCGCTTTTGCAGGGTCTGGGTTCACCTATAAGCCCCTTTGAAGCAAAAAAGGGTACCCTGTTTATTCCTCGGTCAGCCATGGGTTTAGACTTGCTGGCCCACCCGTTCTCTACTAATTGCTTAAGAACACTCCCCTCCAAAAAGGAAAACAACTAAGATTCTTACTTATAAGTAGGAATCAGTATCTTTAATTTGGGGGGTTCTTAAGCAAGTAGCCGTTCTCTGGCAACCAAGGATCTTTGTTTTCGCGGTCTGGTTTACCACCAACGCCACTTTCTACTTGAAGCCCCACGCAGACTTCTCCAGACGCCCGGCACATCTCAGAATGGGCCGTTGAGAGGTTTCCCCAGCGCGGTGTCTGTTTTAGCTTCGGTGTACCCCTAAACCCTAAACCCCGAACCCCCAAGGGCACCCCCCATCCCCCCGGCAACAGCTTTTTCCCTTTGCAAAAAAGGGGTCGTCTCCTGGCTGCCTGAATTGGCAAAGCAAGGGCACACTAGGCACACACTCATAAGCCCGGAGACTCCACTTTGCAGTGTCTACCGTGTGATTAGATCCCTGCTATATTATATGTTTAAACATGAAGGTATACAAACACTTTTTTGGGTTCAGATTTAGTCCCCAAGGATATAACAATACATGGCCCAAAAAAAAATCTGCGCTTGGTACGTGGTACTGCACGTGTACCTTCTGGGTACCAGTGTGGTTCTTGACTGAGATACCAGATATTGGCAACTGGGTTCCCTGCACTTTCCGTTCAAACGGTTTCGTTTCGAGGGGGGGGGGGGGGACCTAAACCCTAAACTCCCGGGGGTCCCAAACCTTGCAAGATCTAAGCCACCCTTCTATAAGAAATGGTACGCTTCGTAGCCTATTGAGTTGCAGCAACTACCTCCGTTCATCGGCCGCGGAGACCCTTAACTGAGGAACATTCCTCTAAGCATAGTCTCTAGGATATATGTACACACATATGTATATATATATATATGTACATGTGTATATATACATATACAGTCTCTAGCAGTGTAAAGTATAGTGTCTAGATTTTATGACTTCTTCAGTATAACACGTTACGTCTTCTGTATTATCCACAATATAACACCCTACTGACAAGGGAGCGTTGCGGGCCCGAAAATGCTTGTCGTGCAACTGTGTGACTTCCAGTCCCACTGCCTCGGCACGCAACCACAGCTTTTGAATACAGAATACATGGTACTGTGGGAGTTTATAACATGAAAAGATCCAATTGTGGTGTTGTCCTAAATGCTATGACTGACTCTGAACATATGTTTACAGTATGCCCAATCTGGGCTCGGGTTTCTAGCATACGGTGCTGGCATTTTATCTTATCAGAACCCAACATCCTAAATCCTGAAGCCTAGCTGTTCGCTGCGTGTGAGAACGTGCTTACTCGGGGTTTAGCAAGCGAAAGGGCGAATGATGGCTAAGACAACTAGGGACCGCAGGCACGGTTGTAAATGGGTGAGACAGTATCGTGCTGCGGTACGTGTAGTTGGGGATGTTCCCCCCTTATACTAACAGTCCTTAATGGGGATCATAGTACCCCCTACTATAATATCTATTCAGGACTGTTAGTATAAGGGGGAACATCTAGTAGCGTTGGGGGATGGACCTTGGTCATTTGGCGTGTTAAACGTGAGGGCTTGTGAATGGTGAAGTACACCCTGCAACCAGTGTGTTAAGTCGGCGGGTGGCGAATTTAGGGTTTAGGGTTTAGGGTTTAGGGTCCCAAACCAGAAAGGAGATGATTGGTTCGAACAGCTCCAGAGCTCCCCCATCGAGAACGCATCTGGCCTTGCAAAGACGGGAATATGTGGGCTGAGGACAGCTTAGGGTTTCAGGGGCTTAGGGTTTGGTTTACGACTTGGGGCGTCAGGGTTTAGTTTAACACTTGTGGGTTTTGCCTAAAGTCTTTTCGGGTTTAATGGATTTCTGGGGTTTAGGGTTTAGGTGTTTCAGGGGTGTTTTGGATGCTTCAGATGTTCCATTCGCGTTCAGTTACTGGACTTCGCACTGGTGCCCCAAACCCTAAACCCTAAACCCTAAACCGTGTCCGTGTTTCAGTGTGCTGGCGCCGTCCTGAGCCTTAAATCACAGGCTTTTCGGGCTCAGTTTTGCATCCAGGTCCTGTTTCTAGGCCCTTTTAGGAATTCAGCCTTTTAGGCCAAGACTCTCCGTTTTGAGAGATCACATTTTTCGGGTTCTTGGTAGAAGCCATTCTAGTCTATCTTTAAGGAGATACCATAAACAGCCCGTAGTTTTTCTTTGCAGCATGTGCGTCCAATTCCGATCAACGTAACGCCCATGTATCAACTGAAGCAAGACGCAGCTCAAGATAGGGCTTGCATGACGAAGCGTCAATCTTTTAGCTCCTTGTTGTTGCCTAAACCCTGAACCCTAAACCCTAAACCCTAAACCCATGCATCCGAATGGCTGCCAGGTTGTCAATATCCATGCCAACTTCGGCACTCTGCAAGCCACTACGTACAGCCTGCTGCGATCCATGCTGGGTGGGATCAACTGGGGCATTCTGTGCCGCTTGCCCTATCCAAAGAGCCTGCTGAATCGTAGTGCCAGCTATGCTAGTTGGGCTGGTCGTTTTTGGTCACCGACTGCTTGATTCGGATGGCTCATGTGCTGATCCCAGCAATCATTCGGAAGGGTGCCTGGAGGCTGTTAAACATGAGCGTTAACGCGCTCATCTGCAATAGTGGAGGGCCCTGGCCGGCATGAATTTGACTGATGAGGCGACATGCTACTGGCAATGGATACGCTCTCCCCCATGCGCCTAGCATGCATATGGTGCATGCGACTTCGCTACACTGTTTTTTCTGTATGTGTAGCGGCGTAGCGAGAGAGAGAGAGAGAGACAGAAAAAAACAAACACACATCAAAAATGGATACAGCGAAAGCGAGAGCGAGAGACCGGGGCGGGGGGGGGGGGGGGGGGGGGGATGTGTGTGAGTGAAACCAATGAGAGCGCAAGCTGCAAGCCGCATGGTTCCAGAAGAATTCACCTTCATGTTCTTCTGAGCAGGGGGCCGCCGGGAGTCGGCTTTCAACTGCCAACGAAGAAAGTTGTGGATATTCCATGGTCTTACTGCTGGTTAGTAGGGAATGGGGGAATAAGGTACCATGTATAACCCTTTAAAGGGCATATATGGGTACCTTCCCCCATTCCCTGCCAACCAACAGTAAGTGGCGCAGATGGGGGATGCTATTTGTGTCATGCATCGTGGACTTTTTTGTTTCATCACGAACACTGTTGGAAAGCCGGGACCGTTGCAGTTCCGTCATCAGCTGCAGGTACCCTAATCGAAAGGTTCACCACCATGTTTGTCCAATAGGCACAGAGGCAAACAGCAGAACTTGCAGAGTGGAGTTGGGGGCGGGAACGAGAGGTGCTGATAGTTCAACAAGGCTCTTGTTGCTGATGTGCAAGTTGATGACCGCTTCGGCAAGTTCCAGTCACCATTGTGTGACACTGCTTCCAAGGGAGTGGAGATTCAAACTTTTATGCTGTGCGCGTGCATATTCTCGGTTTGGTGAGTGTCTTTCCACACGTTCGACATTTGTCATTGGCTTACAGGTTTGCCTTGACGACTGCTGCAGTTGCTGCTCCTGCCATCGCTGCTCCTGCCCTTGCTTGCTGCTGCCCTTGCTTGCTGCTGCTGCTGCTGCTGTCGCTTTTGCCGCTGCTCGTGCTGCTGAAGTGTGTGAGCCATATGCACGTGGCTGCAGAGTGCGAGAGAAAGGGCTTTGCAAGCATGAGTCTTTGCAAAAGGCTAATCGTCCTGGTTCTAGCTTACATTGTACATGTTGACTGCCAAGTTACCTCCGCCCCCCAAGCACATCCTGCTGTTGAAAACCTGCTTGCCAGGCTGTTCATCTTTTACGTCTTGTTTGCCCTGCTGGCAGCTGGGCTTTCACTAGAAACCACGGTAGTTCCGAGGGCGCATAACATGGAAAGATCCTTAAGAACCCTACGACTTGGGGCAAGGTACCCAAAGGCTCCTATGTAGTACCTTTTTTGGGTAGTATACTAGAATCCCCTATAACTAACCCAAAAAGGAACTACATTGGTGCCTTTGAGAAGGGCTTAGTAAGACTGAATCACCTTGCAGCCGCAGGCCACGAAGTTCGGAAGCCCCCACACCTGGAGCCACTAAATTCGAAACCCGCAACCCGAAGCCCGAAACCCTAAACACAAAACACTAAACCCTAAACCCCAAACCTTTAAAACCTAAACCCTAAACCCTAAGCGCCGTAAACCCACAAGAGGATGTTTATGAGCCGAAACCTTGGAAGCCCGGCGCCACTCGACCCCACAATCTCTGAAGCATGCTGTGAGGCGGTGCTGAACATCGTGCCCGGAGCTTAGCGCAGGGGTGCAAGGACACTATGTGGTTTTCGTTTTCGATGTATCCGCATCTGCAAGGCAACATCTGAGTCTTTTCAAGGGCCATCTTAGGCTTTTCAGATGGTACTTCACAAGTCCCCCTGCAGCCCTACAGCCCTACAAGCGTCATCGAAGAAGAACGATGTTTAGGTTAACAAACAGGGTTTACGGTCCAGAGCACAGTGCTCAAAAGGGTTTTACGGGTTTAGGGTTCACGGCTGGCTCCTCTTCTAATAGGCCAGGATTTCACAGCCCAGATGCAAAAAACTTTTGCATCTGGGCTGTGAAATCCTGGCCTATTAGAAGAGGAGATTAAAAAGGGTTCACGCTGTTTCGAGCCGTCAGTCTAACTCAGGACAGGAGTGTTTGTGGACAACGCGGTGGCCGCTGCCAAGACTCAGCGGGAGTTCATCATCGAGAGGGACCCCGAGCGAGCACTCTGTGCAGCCCCCTAAACCCTAAACCTTAAACTTAGGGTTTAGGGTTTGGGGTTCAGGGTTTAGGGTTTAGGGTTTAGGGTTTAGGGTTTAAAAGCCCAAAGCCTATACCAGGCTCAGCCTGCAGGTAGAGCCGCGTGATGCTCTGTAAGTCGCAGGGAGGGATGATCGCCTTCCAGCTTTTCAGGAATTCCCAGTCCCGTCTCCGGCAGGTTCATAGCACTGAAAAAACTCGTAGGGGTTTGGTTGTTAGGGAAGGAAAGGGAAAGAGCAACTCAACATTCCTAAGCCCAAAACACTAAAGTCACTAAAATTTAGGGCCTAAATCTTAAACCCGCAAGTCTCCGCGCAGGAGCGGGAAATCAAAGAGAAGTATGTTCGGGAGCGGCGGCCTAAGACGGTTGCGGACAGGAGCCTTTGAAACGTTGTGTGCTTAGGATATCCTGGGGAAGCACTACCTGGACCCCCAAAGGGGTTCAAGGTTTCGGGCTTCGGGTTTAGGAGCGTGTTCTAAAATGCACAAAACCCATGCGCTAAGATCATCTGAGCTGCCACAGCGTCGGCTGTTGACTTCAGGGTTTTATGCAGGAGCCTACATGCTTACCAATATGTTTTCCAGTAAGATCTGTCGTTCCTATACTACAGGCTATCAACTCTAAAATACCTATTCTCTGTTGAGCCGCGGAATCTCATGCACTCTTGTCCAAAGGCTTCTCCGTTGCTTGATGCCACTCTCACTGCTTGACACCCCCTGGTATTCTCAGTACGACAGCATCATGCAGCAACTTCAATCGCTGCTTGACAAACTTCGATTTATATACTTCTCGAGCGCGTGATTTCCCCCCACCCCCCCCCCCATTCCGCATGAAGCTCTCTGGATGTACAGATCGCTCTCTCGTGTCACAATCGATGTATCAGACTTTGGTCCGCGCGCCTGCGTGTGCCATGCAACAGCGCACTGAGACTCTCTAAACCCTAAACCAACCCTAAACCCCAAACCCCAAACCCTCATTCAACCTACAAACCGTTTTCGTTTCACTTTAACGCAACAGACTTTGGTCCATTTTACCCCCCAAAATGCCCATTTGGGGGGGGGAGGTGGGTTCCAAAGTTAGGGTTCTTGTTGGGGTCCTTATCATAAGGGAATCCTACTATTTGGGGACTATGTTAGGGGTCCCTTAATGTCGCAAGCTCCCATATCTAATGATAGACGGGCCCCGGTAACAGTGTTTTGGGCGGAAGATCTGAGGTTGCAAGATTTGTTTCTTGAAATGGACGAGGATGCGGCTGGCATGCAAGGGGAGTTGTTGAACGACGCAGGGCTTTCGAGGTTATTGGCGCAAACATGAAGCCTTCGGGCTTGTGGGGCCTGCACGCCCTATACCTCAACCCTATCCCTTAGGCTCAAAGCAACCGAAAAAGCCTGTGATTATAAGGCCCTTGGGCCCTAAACCCTAAACCCTAAACCCTATAAACCCTAAACCCTATAAACCCTAAACCCTAAACCCTAAACCCTAAACCCTAAACCCAAACACCTTAAAAATAGGAGTCCTTGCAACCTTAGGGTATAAACTATAGGAAGGCAGGAGCCCCATTTGGAGTCCTGTTTCTTTCACTTTGGCGCAGATTGCGGTCAACAATCCCGCACGCTGCCATTTTTTGACTGCGCCTCTGTGGCGTGTTTAGGGTTTATAGGGTTATAGGTTTAGGGTTATAGGGTTACAGGGTTATAGGGTTATAGGGTTATAGGGTTTAGGATTTAGGGTTTAGGGTTTAGGGCTTCGGGTTCCCCACGCAGCCCCAAGAGGTTTTGTTCAGGAAGCACCGGAGCCAGAATCTTGGTGATCATGGTATTGCGGGCACCGCATCTTAGAGGGCCTGCCGGTTGCTAACCCCTAAACCCTAAACCCTAAACCCTAAACCCTAAACCCTAAACCCTAAACCCTTTAGTGTCTTAGGGTCCTCATCTCCCGGGCTCAAGGGGAGGGGCGGTGGGTTGTCGGAGATTCCTGGTTGAAAATTGGGGGTTAGTGTTTAGTCGGTAGGATACTGGGACATTAGGGTTTAGGGTCTAGGGTCTAGGGTCTATAGGATATTTTACACCTTTCCCCCATCGCATTTCAGAGGTTCATTATATTCAGGAGTATTTTTCAGAGGGCTTTAGGGGTCATCTGAGTTTAGGGTTTAGGGTTTAAGGTTTAGGGTTTAGGTTTTAGGGTTTAGGGGCTTTTCCCGGAAGCAACGGCGACACCCGGACCGAAGAGCGGCCCAGGCCTCGGGTACTCTTACGGCTGAAGAGATGCAGCAACTGGTGAAGGACCCTGTTTTTGTCGGTTTAGGGTTTAGGGTTTAGGGTTTAGGGTTTAGGGTTTAGGGTTTAGGGTTTGGGGTGTAGGGTTTGGGGTGTAGGGTTTAGGGTAGCCCAGTGGTGCCCTTTTACCCTTTTTGTGGTTCTGGGCTCCCTTACAAAGTAACCAACCAACGAAAAGGGCACCCGTATCAAAAGCAGTTGCAGGGCTGCCAAGTTTTGCCAAAGAGTCTTGGGTTTCGGGTTGCGGCGCTCATGCTCCAACCCTACATGTGATGAAGCCTGACCCCAGGCATTTTCAAGCTGATCTCGCAGACGTGGGTTTAGGGCTTAGGGATGTTTACTGTTTAGGTGGCTTGTGTTCTTGTTGTGCTGGTTGTTATAGTGATCCAATTCAGGAGTGCGAGGGCGCGCGAGCGTGAGAGTCGAAACTGTCGATACACTAACAACTGCGGGGACCACATGAAGCCCTTAAAGGGTTTACGGTTCATATACCTCACATTATAGTCGTAAAGGGTTTATGACGCCTGATTCATATACCTTATACTAGGAATCATAGCAGTATAGGGTCCACGACCCCAATTTTTGGGGGCTCATCGGATCCGAAAGGGACAGCCCTGGCGCAGGATCCCAAGATGTCGGCTTACTTCTCAGCTTTGGGCGTCCCGTCCCGACAGTGAGGCTGTTCTGAGTGATCGTCCAAGTTTTTGGGTGCCAGAAACCCGAAATATTTAACCCCCTACCTGGGGCTCCCTTTACCTACAGTTTAGTAGTAGATACCCCTTAATGAGTAGGTATAACCCATAAAACTGTAGGTAAAGAGAGAGAGAGAGAGAGAGAGAGAGTCCCAGGTAAACCCTAAAGAAAGGACCATGACTTAGCCGTTGGTGCGCGTGCGCCAGCTGCAGGTTCAGAAGGTGCAGCCATGCTAAATGTTCACCTTCCGTGCTTCCGGGCCCTAAATCCTAAGCCCTAAACCCTAAACCCTGTAACCCTAAACCCTGCAACCCTACACCCTGTAACCCTAAACCCTGTACCCTGTAGCCCTAAACCCTAAAACCTGGGAGTTGGCAGGCTGGTGCTCCACCCAGCTGGTGCTCCGTGAACCTCCTCAAGAGCTGCCCCCTCTTTGCCCTAAAGCCCCATAGCAACCCCCAAGACCATCAAGAACCAAGAATGCCCTAAACCCTAAACCCTAAACCCTAAACCCTAAACCCTAAACCCTAAACCCTAAACCCTAAACCCTATCTAGGCTTCGAAGCGCACGACTGCATCCGACTGTTCTCGTTGCTGGACACGGATGGGCCTCGGAGCCGCAGGGAGTCGGAGGAAAGTGCGGCCAGAAGTAGGATTCGGGTTTAGGGTTTAGGGTTTAGGGTTTAGGGTTTAGGGTTTAGGGTTTAGGGTTTAGGGCTTAGGATTTAGGGTTTAGGGTTTAGGGTTTAGGGTTTACAAGGAGGGGCCCCCCTAGTTATAAGTAGAGTTATAAGGGCCCTAAGTTGGGTTATAAGGATCCTAAATTATAGGTTGTAAGCCCCTTAACTACAGTTAGTATAGTAAGGGGGGCCCCTCCTTGTAGAAGTGGCATGAAGTGGCCCCAAAAAGAGATCGTCATGTTGAACAACCCCCCGTGTGAGCAACCGTGCGAGGGCCTTGTGCGCTCTGTTTGCAGGTATGTTGTCTCAACTTGCATCAAGCGGGCGGAACGAGACTGTTTGCAGGGTACATGCGGTGCAGCGTTTCGGCGTTTGAGCGACTTGGTGTTGCGCACTTGGACCATTAATGGAACATTCGCAAGCACAAGAGCTCAGTATGCCAATGCTGCAAGCTGTTGTCCCAGGTCGGGGTCGGTTGACATCGAGGACATGCTGTGGGGGTGGGAGGGGGGGGGGGGTTGGCTGCTTCCCTACACCCTAAACCCTAAACCTGATAAACCCTAAGCCCTAGACCCTAAGCCCTAAACCCTAAACCCTGTCCGGTTCTTGGCTGAGGTTGCGGTGGGCAGTGCTTAAAGAGCTGCTGGGATTTCAGGATGATAAGTGCGATCAGAAACGATAGTGGTCACGGTTCCTGTAGGGTTTAGGGTTTAGGGTTTATGGTTTAGGGTTTAGGGTTTAGGTTTTTTTGGCATGAAGCAGCTTCCAGGTTCAAAAGGGTTTAGGGTTTAGGGGCTTGCAGCGCTGCCTGGGATAACGAGCATGTTATCGAGGCGTGCGAAGTCTCTTGGGAAAAGGGTTTCTGGGCTTACCTGGGGCTCTATTTACCTACAGTTTAGTAGTAGATACCCCTTAATCAGTAGGTATATCCGATAAAACTAGAGGTAGAGAGAGTCCCAGGTAGGGTTATGCAGTCTCTACAAGGAGGGGCCCCCCCTAGTTATAAGTAGAGTTATAAGGGCCCTAAGTTGGGTTATAAGGATCCTAAATTAGGTTATAAGACCCTTAACTACAGTTAGTATAGTAAGGGGGGCCCCTCCTTGTAGCAGCTTCCTGAGTTGGCCTTGTTGTAACTTCCGCCAGTTTCTCGACGCCAAGTGCTCCCGTGGCGCAGGAGTTTTTGGACGGCTGCTTGCGCCTGAAGGGCATGGCACGCAGCATCGACGTCCACTTCATTATGGCGCTTCGAATCGAAGGTTTAGGGTTTAGGGTTTAGGGTTTCGGGTTTAGGGTTTAGGGTTTGGTATCCAAATGCCTCTGTAGAGGTTAGGGCTTCACTTCATTGGAGAAGCAAGATATATAGCCTAAACCCTAAACCCTATTCAACCGCAAGCAGGGTAGCCTGTTCATTCCTGGGTTACGTGGGAGCCTGATTGGCGACTCAAAGAGGTGCAGAGGTTCTCATTCGTTTCGATTTTAAGGGGTAGGGTTTAGGGTTTAGGGTTTAAGGCTAGGGTTTGGGGTTATACATGAGGGGACAAGGTTTTAGGTAGGCGTGCTAGATAACACCTGACACCACAAACCGTAAGAGCTCTTCACAATCCTGATCTCTGCCGCGAACCGCTACATGTCCAAAAGCAAGCCCAGCGCCGATCTGAGCCCAAACCCTCAACCGTACAGCGCCGGGGAAGGTTCAGATCCACCGCTTGCAGAAGCAGCGTCTTGGCTTCCTTCCGGTTCCTCTGAGGATTGTTCAGGGTTGAGGGTTTAGGGTTTAATGTCGCATCGATCTTGATACCGCGAACCACCGGCGGCAAGTCTTCAAAAGGCGGAAATTGTGGGTTCTCTAGGGTACACATACGGGGCTTAGGGTTTAGGGTTTAGTGGGGTTGAGGGAACATGCAACCCTAATGCCCTTTCACCCAACCCGAAGACCTAAGCCCTACTCGCGAACTCGAAGAGTGAAAGCTTCAACCCAAACCCTAAGCAGACCCTACACCCCAAATCCCAAACCCTGAACCCTCACAACATGGCATATATAACTAGTGTATGCATCCCCCCCCCCCGCCCCCCCCCTCCCCGCCCCCCCCCCCTCCCCCCCCCCCTCCCCCCCTGTTTCTGAACATTTTTCATATATATATCTACAAACTATAATATATATATATATACATATAGATACATATAGCATTATGCAAACATATCTGTATAGAATACAACAGCATGTAATACAACGTAATACATGTATTTTTCTTAGATCCTATTATATTCTGCTTTTATGTACTTTATCATCGTGCGCATATCCATTGCTGTTCGCAAACGTAGGTTGAGCGGATTGGAAACCGGGCACTCCGCGGTGGTGGTGCCTCGGCACGCATCCCATCGTTCCCTAAAGAGCTTGAAGCCGAAACCTTGGTTGGTGTTTAGGGTTTAGGGTTTAGGGTTTAGGGTTTAGGGTTTAGGGTTTAGGGTTTAGGGTTTAGGGTTTAGGGGGTGTGGGGTTCTGGGATTCACTGCTTGCTACAGCCTTCGAAGTAGGGTAGGTAAGTTTGGGTGCTTTAAGGTCTTGCTCTAAGACGATCCGCAGCCTTCTAGCCCGGCTCTTTGGGGCTTTAAGTCTATTTTGTGTGTGGTGAGGCACATGGAGTTGAACACGGGTGTGGGTGTTAGGTTCCGGGGGTTTAGGCCGTATTTGGGTCTCAGGGCTTCTAGGGGTTCAGCGTAGTAGGGGAGTCCTGGATGCGGAACGGTTTCGGGCGGGGGCTCAAGGTTTGAGAGTGCATTTTTCCGTCTTGTCTTGTAGGGTTTACCTGGGACCCTTTTTCTGTACAGTTTTGTAGTAACTACCCCTTAATTACCACAAAACTGTAGGCAAAGAGAGTCCCAGGTACACTTACAACAGGGTCTTGCGCCCCGGGATCCCTGAACTAAGGATTTGCATGAGTTTAGGGTTTAGGGTTTAGGGTTTAGGGTTGTGCCTGGAGATTGGGTTCAAACGAAGGTTTGGGGTGAAGGCCCTCGACCCCCTTTACCCCGCCTAGTCTATGTTGGGCAGTCCGGATGGGACGTTTCGTCATCGGGGTGTGGCCCTTGAGCAACAGAAGCATACTCGGTTTAGTGGCCGCATTTGAGATTGTAGTTTGTGAGTGACCTGCTTGAACGAATTTAGTTGTAGCCGGCATCCCTGCGTCGCGGTTCGCCCAGCTATTCGAAAGAAAGAAAAGGGGAACCCGGAATCCTAAGCCCCTGAACGCTGGGCCAGCTGTCAGGCGCGCCTACTTCGGCAGAGATCTCGTGATCTGCAGTCGTCCCGTTTAACACGCCCTGAATCATCATGGGTTTCCTGATTCCCTACTACCCCCCCCTCCCAAAACCCCTGAAATAACCCTAATTAGGCTTATCCTAATTATGGGGGCAACCTAGAGGGGGTAGTAGCTGAACCCATGAAATCATGGCATGCTGCTTTCAAATGCTGCCGCCCGGCGGAGGTCTTGGAATCAGAGGGGCGGCACTGAGTTTAGGGTTTAGGGTTTAGGGTTTAGGGTTTAGGGTTTAGGGTTTAGTTAGGGTTTAGGGTTGAGGGTTTAGGGGGCTCTATGCTTACCAGGGTCGCCGACTGGATTCTGGACTTGATGTTCGGACATGTTCCTGTCAGCAACGAATCTTAGGCACCTCACCCGCTAACCCTCTGCAAAGCGCCACTTGAAACGATCTTCAACATGCGGGAAACTTCTACTGCATGGGTTCAACTCGATCATGGAACTGGCGCGATATACCCAAAGGCTCCTATGTAGTACCTGTTGGGGTTGTATACTAGAATCCCCTATAACTAAACCAGAAGGAGCTACATTGGAGCCTTTGGGTCAAAAGCCAGATTCGTTGCTGCAAGCTGCGAAGGGCGTGGGGCAGCACCAGCTGGAACCTCGGAATGCAGGAATACAGAGGACGAGTGTATGAGAATTGAATACCAGGGTTTAGGGTTTAGGGTTCCCTAAACCCTAAACCCTGAACCCTAAACCCTAAACCCTAAATTAGGGTATTTTGAAGAAAGCAGCCTGTGTTCCAGCGGTGCGCTGCTCCTCTGCCGATGTAACCCCTGATGCAAATGTGCCAACCTACTACTTGCTTAAGAACCCTGAAAAACTAAGAAGATTCTTCCTTATGAAAGGTTAATATAGGGATTATTGTTCTTTATTCTTTTGGGGTTCTTAAGCAAGTAGAGCTAATGCGGCTGAGTGCATTGCAAAGCAATGCAGCCAGACTGCTCCGCGGAGGATCGCCAGAGCAGCTGCTTCTCTACTCTTTGCTTATAAGAACCTCCAAAAAATGAACAGTAGTCATCCCCTATATTACCCTTATGATTGCTTAAGAACCACCAAAAAATGATCAATAATAATCCCTATGCCCTTATAAGGACGAGTATTTGGGGGGGGGGGGGGGGGTGGGGGGGTTCTGAAGCACATTGGTAGTTCTCATTCCTTTTTCTAGCAGACAGCTGCTGATGTCTCGAGGGTAAACCCCTAAGGGTCCCTAAACCCTAAACCCTAACCCCTAAACCCTAAACCCTAAACCCTAAACCCTAAACCCTAAACCCTAAACCCTAAACCCTAAACAGGCCATGCTTAGGACTTAACCTACTTCCCAGATAGGGGTGTTGGGGCCCAAGTCTATCACAGGGTACATGGACTCTTAGGGAATGCGAGCAGCCATTCGCAAGTTTGGCTAGAGGCATCAGCATGTGACATCGGGTCACCGTGTTGTGTGGTGACCTGAGGGGACAACAGCAGAGGCATGGGTTAAGACCCATCTGGAAGCGGAGAAAAGTCAGGAAGAACCCCCCATGAAGTCATGGAGGCCCTCTTCGCGGAAAAGAGTGGCCCAGGGCTTACGGCGCAGGGGAGAGACTGTGCGAGCAGTGAGAAGCCGAGAGAGGCCTGGCTGGCAAGTTAGAAACCATAAAGAGAAAAGCAGTAAGCAATCATCAAGAAGCAATGAGAGACAGTTGCGTAGTTCACTTGGAACAGTTCCAAGATTTTTTCTGCTGGGCAGGATGTATTGACCAGCGATGTCGTGACGACGGTGAGGCTGCTGACAGACAAACCACTTGCATATGTAGCTGGCGTTAGTAAAGGAGCTACGCACGGGAACCGTGCCTCTTGTTGAGGAAGTCGCGCTCATGCCTGCTGAACGATGCATCCTCAACTCAGAGGTAGGTAGAGGCAGTCTGCTTGGGACTGTCATGCCGAACTTCACGGTGGAATCCGTAGCCATGTCGGTAAGATCTGACGGCAGTACAGTGCGCCGCGCGCCATGTAGAATCGCTTGACGGAAAAGGTGCCACCGCTGCCGAAGCAACCCTAAAACTTACCCTAAACCCTAAACTTGCCCCAAACCCTAAACCCTAAACTCATGTATAACCAAAAGCCTTTCGTGCACCTCGCGGGCCGTCCTTGCTTTCGTAGCATGGGTCCGTATACGAATTCAGCTCTCCTCGTTGATTCAGGAGGCATTGGGGGCACTGATTCAGATGGCGCCTTGCGTGCATGCATCCAGTCCCAGGTTCATGCTTGCATCCTTGCTTTTAGGGTTTAGGTTTTAGGGTTTTAGGGTTTAGGGTTTTGGGTTTTGGGTTTAGGGTTTAGGGTTTAGGGCAGCCTCCCTGTTGCAAGGATCAGCCCGAAACCCTAAAGCACTGGACCTGTGTCCTGCCGTGCTCAACTGCAGGCCCAGGCTTGACAAGACCCCTGACCGCAGCAATCGACAGCCCTGAGCCCTGAGTTCCTCGCGAAGTTGGTTAGGGTTTGGGGGTTTAGCGTTTAGGGTTTAGGGTTTAGGGTTTAAGGGGTAGTATCTTTTCCTGGTAGTTGTACCGCAGTCCGGTTGCAAAATGGCTTAAAAGGGTGCCGTAGGCTCTACTGTATGCAACGCCTCAGACCTGCATCCCCTGTCGCGACTTTCCGCTCCGAAGCCTTACCTGAAGGTTGAGCCCCTGTCCATAAGTCTAAGTATAACCGGCGACTTCGGGAGCTTTTACGTACAGTTATAGTTTAGGGTTTAGTGTTTAGGGTTTAGGGTTTCGGGTTTGGGGTTTAGGGCTTATATTGGGGGTTACAGGTACCCTGAACCTCCCAAGTAGACTATGTAAACCGTCTGAGCATGCCGCGGACAAGCTGCAAGCCGTGAGCAATGTGGGGCGCAGGCCCGGCATGGGAGTTTAGGGTTTAGGGTTTAGGGTTTAGGGTTTAGGGTGTAGTGTAATGCAGGGGAGTCGCCGGGCTCGGTCCAAGCATGGAGGAAGAAGCACCTTGCAAACCGAATGAACCCGAATTGTTTTGGGTCATATAGCTTTAAAGGCTCCCTTGGATCCCAAAGGCAGACGAATGCATCCTAGACCCTGAACCCGAAACCCCCTAAACCCCCTAAACCCCCTCAACCCCCCAAACCCCCTAAACCCCCCAAACCCCCCAAACCCCCCAAACCCCCAAACCCCCTAAACCCCCTAAACCCCCTAAACCCCCTAAACCCCCCTAAACCCCCTAAACCCCCTAAACCCCCTAAACCCCCCTAAACCCCCTAAACCCCCTAAACCCCCTAAACCCCCCAAACCCCCTAAACCCCCTAAACCCCCTAAACCCCCTAAACCCCTTAAACCCCCTAAACCCCCCAAACCCCCTAAACCCCCTAAACCCTAGACCCTGAACCCTGCTGACCAGGTGGCTGGCCGCCGGCTTCCTGTCAGCATCCATTGTCATTTGGTTGAGTGGGTTTAGGGTCTAGGGTTTAGGGTTTAGGGTTTAGGGTGTAGGAGCGTCGAAAAGCTAGACTTTTTTCTGAGCAAGATGGGTTCGGAACGTGAGTGCTGTCAGCTCGGAGAGCGACAGCTTGATCCAGGCGAGGACTCACGCAAGCCTGCTGCAAAAGGGTTTAGGGTTTAGGGTTAGGGTTAGGGTTTAGGGTTTAGGGTTTAGGGTTTAGGGTTCCTATGATAGATCCCCGAATAGCAGGAGCCCTGTACAGTTTGGACCCTAATGGGGTACGTAAACCCCCATTTGTTGTTTCTAGACATCTTCCCTTTTTCGGGACCAGAGCAGCCCACACCCTCCCCCCCCCCCCCTGCCCCGGTTCCTTCCAGGCATTCGCACTTTCTTGGACTTGCTGCTGTAAGCATAAGATGACGGCCCCTTCTGGAACCAAATCCTGCACGGAACCTTGGGCCGGCCGAGGCATTGGCAAGGACATGGTGTTGATAGTAACCGGGAACCAAGACAATAGACTTGCGCAATAGACTTGCTCGTCTGTACTGTAAACCCTACCTGGGTCTCCAAAAGACCCTATTACTTTTGGTTGTTTGGAAAAAACCGGGTTTTTTAGGAAACGCCCGTAAAAAAAACAAACGCCCGTAATTCGGGAAACGCCCGTAATTCCGAGATCGGGGAGGATTAGGATTTTACGGGAAACGCCCGTAATTCCGAGACCGGGGAGGATTAGGATTTTACGGGAAACGCCCGTAATTCCGAGATCGGGGAGAATTAGGATTTTACCGGAAACGCCCGTACTTGCAAAATCGGGGAAATGAGAATTCGGCATAATAAAATGTACCAATACAACCCACCAAGCACCAAGCTTATAGTGAAGCCTGAACCCTGTCCCCTTCCAGCTCCTGCAAGGTTGAAGGGTTTAGGGGTTTAGAGAGGGAACACAGGAATGCTCCGGCGAACCCAACTGTAAAATCCGAGCCACAATCCTTCTCAAACCTTTCCCGAAGCCCTGTATAGACCAACGATATATGGACCTGCCCAAGCGACACTTATCAGGAGACTTGATAACCCCGACCCCAGAGACCCTAAGCCTCAGCCAACCTTTCTCGAAGCCCTGTATAGCACAACAATATAGGTTAGTCTGAGTCTTTAACACCAACCCTGCCGACCCCCAAGCACAAGCGACACTTATTATGAGAAGACGAAACAAACCCCAGACCCTAAGCCTCAGGACTTGCAGGGTTTATCGGTTGGGGTATAACGGTTCTGCCACACGACCGTATATGAGGAGACCCTGTAGACAAACCCATATAAGCCCTATTCACCATATAAGCTCCAGCCAGGACTTCCGAGGGGTTTGGGGTATAGGTGTGGGTTGAATTGGACCGGATTTGTTAACCTCATTTTTCGTTCCCTTGCCACGACAGTTGCGAAGTTGGACTGTTTTTCCAGCTGCTAGGATCGCTAGGATCGGCAATAGCAGCCCAGACGCCCGGAATCTTTATTAAACGCCCGTAAAAACCCGTAATTCGCCCGTAAACTTGTTGATTTAGGCTTTCCGTGGGGTTTCCGTGGGCCCTTACGGAAAGAATCCACGCAAAAACGCCCATAAAAAACCGTAAAAACGCCGTAAAAAACCGTAAAAAACCGTAAAAATCCATAATTGGGACTGGCGCGGAAAGATCACGGAAAGGCCTTAGGCTCTGTGATGCCTTGAAAAACTCCCAGATCCAACAGCTCAGCCCACCCTTCGAAACATAGAACCCATAATTCCACGGAAAGCTGTGAACTCCCTACGGTAAACACGAAATCTACGGAAAACCCCCTGAAGTCTACGGAAAGCCCCTGTTTCCGTGGGCCCCTGGGTTTGAGGGCTTTAGAGTTTAGGGGTCCTCTGGATTGTAGGTCAAGCTTCAGTTTCAGGGGTTTGGGGATTTCAGGCGGCTTTCCGTAGATTTCAGGGGTTTGCCGTAGATTTCGGGTTTTTCGTAGGGAGTTCACAGCTTTCCGTGTGGAATTATGGGTTCTATGTTTCGAGGGGTGGGCTGCATGAGTTGTAGGATCTGAAGGTTTTTTCAAGGCATCACAGAGCCTAAAGCCTTTCCGTGACCTTTCCGCGCCAGTCCCACTTATGGATGGTTACCGTTTTTTAACGGTTTTTTATAGGCGTTTTTATGCGTGGATTCTTTCCGTTAAGCCCATCAAGCCCTAAACCCAAAAAGGCCTTAAAACCCTAGAAGCCTAAAACCCTTGCAAGAACCCTAACACCCTATAAAACCCTACAAAACCTGCAGGCTTTATGGCCAGGCCGGCCCAGGAAATTCCAAAAAACCCTTTCAAAGCAAATCCCCAAAAAACCTCAATGGCCAAAATGGGGTCCCAAAATGCTTGAGGTTTTGAGCAGGGTGGGGTCCCAGGGGTCTTTTAGGAGGAAGCTTGGGTTAGCAAAATCCCTGCAGGCTTCGGGTGAAGGGCTTATATAGGGCTTTGGGATGATAAGGTTTTGAGGGGCTCAGGGCTTGTTGTTTTTGGCATATTCAGCCCTGTTTGTTTGGATGAACCCGGAAACCCCTAAACGCCCATAAAACCCCTGAACGCCCATAATTCTGCACCAATCCTCACAAACCACTAAACGCCCATAATTATCCGTAATTTCAAGAGCCAAAAGCAGAACGCCCATAAATTTCCTAAACGCCCGTAATTCCCCCTAAACGCCCGTAAAAACCCGTAAAAAACCCAACGACCAAAAATAATTGGGTTGTCGGGGTTCCAGGTACACCCTAAGCCTTAAATACCAAGTGCCAAGGCTGCACCGCCACACCCGCACTGGCAGCAGGCAAGAGTGTGGCACTAGTTCTGGTCGCCTGCAAGGTTGTCAAAAGCTGTAGAAGAATTGTGCTTCTTGCTCTCTATGTCTCTCTCTCTCTCTCTCTCTCTCTTTGTCTCTCTCTCTCTCTCTCTCTCCCTCCCTCTCTCCCCTCTCTCTCTCCCTCCCTCTCTCTCTTTCTCTGTGCGACGCCTCTGCATATCTTTATGTACACACACATGTATGTATGTATTTTCCATTTTTCTATTATATACACTGGTTATATAAACAGATATATACACATATACACATATACATATATACATATATACATATATACATATATACATATATTTATGTACTTATTTGCTTACTCAGCATTAAACCTGATGCATGTAAGCCTGTCAGCCCCCAACCCTATGCACAGAAACACCTGCACACGTTCGCAACGGCAACTTCTCCAGGCGTCCCCAACGCCAGCTGCGTACCCGCCGGCCCATGCTGGCCGGTACGAGCATGCGCCTCTGCGGTGGCCCTGGTCCCCAAGGGCTGAGTTAGGGACCTACCTGGGTCTCTATTTACCTGCAGTTTCGTGGCAACTGCCCCTGAATTAGTAGGTATCCCATAACACAGTAGGTAGAGAGAGTTCCAGGTATAGCCCCTCCAAATTGTAGGTTCCCATGTCTTTGGGATACCGAATGTCCTTGGTGTTGTGTTCTAACCATCATGCTGGGCATTCCCCTCAAACAGGAACCACCGTTGGGTCTAGGTGGGGTTCAAGTGCAGGCGATGGTCCAAAGACATGTCGGACCCTCTTTGCGTCAGGCGTGGCTTTCTGAAATTTTCTGCAGCCAGAACCCCGAACCCTAAACTTTAAACCCTACAACCTAACCCTATCAACCTCGTTTGGTCTGTTCCTTCAGGACTCGCAATGTCCGCGCGGGGGAAGGCCGTAAAGGCAATCCTTTTCCTCAGAACGAAGCAGGCAACCTCGCAAGTCCAACCCCAAACACACCAGTTTTCCCCAGACCCCTGGAGGATCCAAAAAGTAGAACCCCCCAAGTAGTACCCTCTACTACTACTGGTCATTCTTACAAGGAGGGGCCCGCCTCGTTCTTAAAAGAGTCATAAGGGTCCTAAGTTGGGTTATAAGGATCCTAAATTAGGCGATAAGCCCCTTAACTACAGTTAGTATAGTAAGGGGGCCCCTCCTTGTAGGAACCCTGAAGGGGATCTACTTTTTGGATCCTCCCCAAAAATCTGGGTCCCGAAGCCCAATATTAAACCCCGGAATGACTGCCTACACCTCCTCCACCCAGTTAGGGCCTCGATTTCCCTAGCTTGTAAACCCTAAACCCTAAAACCTAAAACCTAAACCCTAAACCCCAAACCCCAAACCCCAAACCCTAAACCCTAAACCCTAAGCCCTTCCAACCTCAAAGCCCAGGCCTCTTCGTTTGGAGGCGGAGCCGGTGGTACGCGAAGGCTTGGGACCGGCAAGTGCTGTCCCCAGACTCTACCTGGGTTGTGCTTTGGGATAATTCTAAATTTCCCTAACCCCTAAACCCTAAACCTAAACCCTAAACCCTCAGTTAGGGGGGTTTGGGGAGGTTTAGGGTTAAGGGTTTGGGGTGGTTTAGGGGTTTAGGGTCAAGGGTGTAGGGTTTAGTGTTAATTAGGGTTTAGCTCTTCGGATGAATCACGGTTTAAGGTTCAGGGTGGTTTGAGGGGTGTAGGGTGCAAGGGCTGAGGGTTTAGGGCTTCGGACGAAATAGGGTTTAGGGTTTTAGGCGTTGGTGTTTACAAGGTAGATGCGGCCCAGAGACCCCAACACTCCTCAGAGAACCCAATACCCCTCAATTGTGGAATACACCTCCATTCATTCATATACGTTATTAAGAATATTTATTGGTGGATGCATTTGTGTATGTATTTATTCTTAGGTCTTAGGACCCCCTCCCTAACCACAAAACAAGCACAACCCATTCACAACCCTCTAAAGAACAGGGTTCAGGTTTCGGGGCTTTGGGTGGTTTTAGGGGGTGGTCCCGCGCATTGTGACAAAGCGAGCTGACGGCGCTGCAGTCTGAGCCGTCATCATGGCATCAGGGCCCTATGCCATCCTGGAAGATCAGGTTAAGCATTCCTTGGTAGGGCCTTGGGATGTTTTATATTTCCCTTTATATTGGGTTTAGGAGCATGATATTTAAGAAGACTTTTTTAGAGGGCTGTTTAGGCCGTCCTCGAGTAGATAAGTGAACTGAGATTGAGGTGGCTGTATAGTGGACCCAGATCCCCAGCAGACCGCATGGCACCAGCAAAGTGCAGCGCAACATGAGCCCTTTAAGCCCCTTGTAGGCTAACCCTAAACCCTGAACCCCAAACCCCAAACCCTAAACCCTAAGCCCTAAGCCCCCCCCCCCCCCCCCCCCCGCCCCCCAGATAGGTTCCCTTTAAACAACGTCCTTTCAAACCCCCCAAAAAGGGGCACCCTTCTTGTACTCCTAGGTGGCCCTTGGGTAGCCCTAAACCCTAAACCCTAAACCCTAAACCTTCTACAGCTCATTCTGAAACATGATGGCCTCGGAATATGGGCCTCCGGGTGACCCAACCTGCTGGCTGGGCAACATCAACTTCGCGACCTGCTGCCTCCCTCCGCCGCGTGGAACCTTGGGAACCCAATGAACCCCTAAAATTGGGACCATATACCTTTGAGGGTTTAGGGTTTAGGTTTAGGGTTAGGGTGTTTTATATGGCTTATAGGGTTTAGGGATACTACCTATAATCCTTATTGCGGTATATGAACCCATAAACCCTTTTAGGGCTCCTTTGGTTCCCAAGGAAACGACTACTGCTGGGAGGGCGGCTTCACCTACGAGCGCTGCTGCCGCAAGAATCCACTGGAGCCGGTGGACATCAACAAAGTTGCACCTGGGACGTTCTTTACCTACAGCTTTGATGGGTTATACCTACTGATTATGGGGTGTCTACTACTGAACTGTAGGTGCAGAGAGCCCCAGGCAGAGATTGCTGAGCTCGGGGGTTGTGAGCTCAACATCTTCCAGGAGTTCAAGGAGCGCGCGGGCGCCTGGTACCGCCATGCCGTGCCAAACTTGGTTCTGTTTCAGGAGTTTGGCTACATCTCTCGGCGCTTTGATTCGATGTACCGGAGTTGCGCACCCGCCGCCCTTACAGCCCTTCTCCTGAAGCTCGAGTCCATCTACTTCGAGGAGGAAGCCATCTGGGCACCGCTCTACGCACATTACGCGGAGCAGCACCACCAGGCGGTGGCCAGTGGCGACTTGCTGCAAAGCCACCACCTCAATGGGTGGCCTCTGGTGGAAGGCTTAAAGCAGGTGAATGCTCTCAGAGCCAGCCGAGACCCGGAGCTAGTGCCACCCCTCCGGGCACCTGTGTTGGACATTGTGCTGTGTTACTGTGGGCGGGGCGAGCGCATCGACTGGCTGCGCGGCTTCCACCAGCTCCCATGGCGAAGCGAGAACCGCTCGGCGTCTACAAGGGCCCGGGTGGCGCTGAGGTTCTACCACAAATGCGGTGCAGAGAGTGAGGAGGAGCGTGAGGAAGAGAGTTGGAGACTGCAGAAGGAGTGGTCGAACTACTTCCACATGGTGGAGGTCCGCTATGTGGATGACCAAGTACGAGCCGATGACTGCTCCGCATATCTGGCTTACATCGTGGACCGCTACGACGATCTGCCAGATTTTGCGGTTTTCCTGCACGCGGATGCTCCCGAGCACATCCCCAGCGTGGACTTGTTGATGGACGCAGTTTTTGCTGCTTCGAGGGGCTTCCTTCCCCGAGATGCGGGCTTTGTACACTTGGCCCACAACTATGTGCGGCACGACTGTCCAGGGAACGCGACTGGATGTAAGGATCCAGATGGGCCTGAGGTGGCACGGCTTTGGAGGAGAGTGTTTCACTCGTCCATTGTCCCAGAGCGGCTTCACGGTGACTTGAATGGCTATTGCTGCGTGCAGTTTCTGGTCCGCCGTGAGCGCGTCCGCCTGCGGAAGAAGCAGTTCTACGTCGACGCACTGGACTTCTTCGGGGAAACTGCCGAGTCCTACTACGAGCTCTTCGCGGCTGGTAAGGTGCTTTGGCCACCTGACACTCGTGGCCGCACCCCTTGTCAACTGGCCATGTACCCTGGGGACCAAACGAAGCCGGAACTTGGGGTCATGTCCCCTACGCTACTATAATCCCTATGAAACTATATGTATATAGTATATAATGTATATATAGCATATATATATATATATAGAGTATATATAGTATATATAGTATATATAGTATATATAGTATATATAGTATATAGAGTATATAGAGTATATAGAGTTTATATAGTATATATATATATATAGTATATATATAGTATATATAGTATATATAGTATATATATATATATAGAGTATATATAGTATATATAGTATATATAGTATATATAGTATATATAGTATATATAGTATATATAGTATATATAGTATATATAGTATATATACCATAAACCCTTTTAGGGCTCATCTCGTCCTCAAGGTACTTCTGGCACGTCATGTTTGGGGAAGACCTTTGGCTCCCGCGCCGACATCGTGACCCACGACTCCCGCTCTTCATCCGCATGCTGAACCTGGGACTCTATTTTTACTGGGTTTTGGAGTTTTGGAGTACTATACTTTAATACTTTCTTTGGTTCTTACTTCCTATTGTAGCTACTTAATACCCAAAAAGTGTATACTTTCGTTTCCAGGGTCTACTCCGAAGTAGGGTTTAGCTACGGTTTAGTAGCAACTACCCCTTTGTAATTAGTTAGTAGGTGTAACCCATAACCCTACAGTTTCATAGTAACTAACTATTTGATGAGTAGTTGTGTAACCCTATACCCTAAACCCTAAACCCTAAACCCTAAACCCTAAACCCTAAACCCTAAACCCTAAACCCTAAACCCTAAACCCCATGGTTTGGTGATGTGGTTTTCCTGAGCAAGGGAATAGCATGCAATTCTACAGGTCCTGTAGTGGATCCCCCTTTTTCCAACTGGACATGTCATCGACGTAACCCTGCCTTGCGGTTCGGCCAGCTATGCGGGAGCGAAAAAAAAAAACACATGAAAAGTGTAGGTAAAGAGAGTCCCCAGGAACATCGAGGCAGAAGCAGCGCTCGAAGCTCAGAGGGGTGAAGATGGTGTCGGAGGCCGTGTCATTCAGTTCCTTGGCAAGCCCAGTGGTATCCTGTAGGGTTTGGGGTTTTAGGGTTTAGGGTTTGGGGTTTAGGTTTAGGGTTTATAGGGTTTACCCTTTTGTTGAGTTCTGGGTTCCCTTACAAAGTAATCAACCCAGGATACCGTCAAGGATACCCCTATTTTTAATATGGTTCCTGTGCTACCAAGGTTCACAGGTGACAACACTGGCGCTGAGGACACGTACTATCGCTTACAGAGTCTTTTCGCAGAGACCGCGGCCTGACCTTCGCTGAGCGATACCATTGGGGAATGGATCGTAGCCAAGAATTGCCTGCTCTGGGCGTCTTTGCATATATCACTCATATTTATCCCATTCACCCACACCGCATACCGACAACATTCCCAGCCACCCGGCCGCCACCCCATCGGCATAGCAGTCCATTGGCAACAAGCAATTCCGCATGATGTTTGGCAAGAGAGACGCAGACAGTCACCTTTGTGCCCCGAAGACTTCGTACAGAGTCATGAGGTCCTTTTTGTACAGCATCAAGGGTTACGAACTTGGCGGCTGTACACACTTTGGACCTCCCATGGTGTCCCAGAGGGTCTAGCAGTCTAGCAGATGGCATGCTTCTCAGCAGGAGATGGCTCGAGAACCACCTATGGCACTGCTTAGGGGAGATTTTCAAACCCTAAAAACCCTGAACACCCCAAAACCCCCCAAAAAAACCAACGCGCCCCAAAAACCCCAAAACTCTAAAACCCTAAAACCCCCAAAGCCCCAATTTTTTTGAGATCTTCACGGAAGTCTTTGGGTGCTGCGACGCCCAAGCCATGGAAGAGCCACCAGCCATGGCTGTGGGCAAGGAGAGATGCTTCCAAGCCTTCTTGGGCTTGGCGGCACGTCTCTTAAGAAAGAAGAAAGCTCATGAACTAGGACCGGGAGTAGGCCCTTATTTCCTTTTTTTGGGTTGGGGTTGCCTTATAATCCCCTCAAAACCAAAAAGTGCGCCGTTTTTATTCCTAGCTTACTCCCGGGTCTAGTGAAGCAGTCCTGCAGTCGGAACCCAGATGTAGGGTTCAAGGTGCAAGGTTCTTCTGAGGGTCATGAGGCTTGAGGACTTCAGAGCTATCAACTTTGGAAATTTGTTAGGCGGAACAGGTTCGCGTGACCCCTGGTCTGCAATCCCCTAAACCCTAAACCCTAAACCCTAAACCCTAAGCACCATGGCAGACCATGGCCTTACTTGCTGACACCAAAAGAAGTCGGTGGTACAGGGCCCTCAAAAAAAATCCCCGACCCGAAGCTCGGAAACCCTAAGACGAAACCCCCTCCTAAGCCACAAACCGAAGCCTAAACCGCCAAACCCTAAACCCGGAACCTCCCGAAGCCCCAAACCCTAAACCTGAAAGTCCTAGAACAAGCAAAGACCGTGTCAGTGCAGCTGAACTGCTTGAGTCCTGGCCTGCTGCGTGCGAGTGCGACAGTCCAAACCTCAAGCCCTGGAAACCCTCAACCCTCAACCATCTAAACCCTAAAAGTCATGTCTGGAATGAGTCCCTGCATGTGCCCTGAGTGACAGCTAGGCGGGTGGCCAAAAAGAAGCCCAAAACCCTAACCCTAAACCCTAAACCCTGAACCCCTGAACCCCTAAACCCCTAAACCCATAACCCCCTAAACCCCCAACCCTAAACCCTGAACCCCCCCCCCCCTGCTAGCAGGAGCGCTCCGACTTGGCTTCCTTACCATCCAACGTTGGGTGCTGAGGAGTTCAGGTATTGCGTGTCTAGGGTATAGGTTTAGGGTTTAGGTTTAGGGTGTAGGGTTTAGGGTTGAGGGTTGAGGGTTTAGGGTTTAGGGTCTCGGATCCGGCTGAGCCAGGAGTCAAAAAAAAAGGGTTTAGGGTTTGGGGTCTACAAGCCTAGGGTTTAATGTGAACGTCGCTTTAATAACCCCCCCCCCTCCCCCCCCCAAATCTTGTTTTGGTCCCCGGGGTTTGGACGGGTCAAAAAAAAGAGAGGGTGTCAATAGCACTTGAGGATTCTGGGGGTCTGGGGTCTGGGGGTCTAGAGGTTTTAAGTAAGGAAACCTGGCTTTGAGATCTCTGGCGGTTTCCTGAATTCCAGGACCCGAAGGCTGAAGTCTTAAGCTTCAGGGATTCTTGTCTTGAGACTTGGACCAGGACCCGAAGGCTGAAGTCTTGAGCTTAAGGGTTCTTGTCTTGAGATTTAAAGGCAGCCATTTAAACTTGAGGCTTCCTTGGTTGCCCCCCCCCCCGGCTCGCCGAAATTATTATTGCCACCCATTTACTATTGTCATTTTGGAGGCCCATAAGGGGTACCCTTTCCGGACTTGTTTTCGAGCCCCGGCGGATAAGGATTTTAGTAAAGAAACCTTGCTTTCAGACCTCTGGTCTGAAGCCTTAGAGGAGCAGCTGCTTCTCTGAAGAAAGAGGCCTGAAGCAACAGTTTCTCGCAGCTCTGGAGCTGCAGCAATCTCAAGAGGCACCTGCTTCTCTGAAGAAACAGGCCTCAAGCAGCAGTTTCTCGCAGCTCTGGAGCTGCAGCAATCTCACAAGACAAGCAATCTCAAACGAGATCTGCTTCTCTAGAGCTCCAAAAAGTATTCTCTGCAAGCAAAATTTCGGATTCCTGGCCGGCCATGTCACCCCATTATTATTTTCACCGGACCCCCCTATATAGACTTGTTTACACACATCGGCCCGAAACCTCCCGTAATGGAAAGTAGTCTTCGGCTGAGCCCCTCTGGCCCGACGAATTTGACAGTTGACACCATTTATAGATGTGACGTTAACATTAGGGCTTAGGGTTTAGGGTCTACAAACCGTCGAGTCATAAAAGCCTAAGAGCCTTACCTGGGACTCTACATTGTTCCCTGTTCACCCTTTGATTCCTAGGTTGCTCAGGGTTGTAGGAGGGTTCATGCCCTAACCCTAAACCCTAAACCCTCGGGTTTCCGGCGCAGTGTCTGGGGACCAGAGGGGCCCGTTGGGGTCAGTATACCCTAAACCCTAAGCCCTAAACCCTAAACCCGAATCCGTGAACCTGAAACCCTAACTACTATAATTTCCCATGAAGGTACATGAACACTAAACCCTTTTGCATTCATTGGTCCCCAAGCAGTCGGAGTTTAGAATGATGTAGGCACTAGACTCAAAGGAACCCCCACGCCGGAAAGCCGGGGGGGGGGGGGGTACTTTTTGGGTGGTCCCCTATTTACGTAAACCCCCAATTCACTTAGTTGAAGTTGAGAACCCCTCCAGTTTTGCCGCCGAGGTCATGCGAACAATGCCCTACACCTCGTGACACGCCTTGCATGATGATGACATTGTCCTACATGGCGGTCCAATACTTTGAAGCCCTCCTCCCCCCCCCCCCCCCCCTTCCCTCCGGCGTTCTCAAACCCCACTGTTAGATTGTTAGATGCTCAGGACTGAAGACCCTCCACCCCCCCATGGAATCCCCCCCCCCAAACCCTAAACCCTAAACCCCTAAACCCTAACCCCCCCTTGCCGCAGGGTACCACAGGAAGGGTGCGGGACTGGGCGACGACACTGCTCCCTCATTCCCTGATTCCCATGTGCGGTGCTTTCTCGCGCGAGGGACACGGAGTGTCTCAGCCATTCAGAATCCACCCACCCCGCACTCCTCATCCATTCAAGACGAGGTACAGGACAAATCCGGAATATGGCCAAATCCTAAACGCTAAACCCTAAACCCTAAAACAACTAACACGCACCTCACTTCAACAATTCCCAGGTACATCGCTGTGGGTTCCTACGCGATCATCGCTGGCTCTGAAGAAGCAGCATGGTTGGAGGCCTGCTTGTGGATGGCGTTGTGCGCTTCGAGGTTCCTTGAAGCCTGAACGCTAAAAGGGCTCATGGTTCATATACCTTTAATAGGAGCCTAGTTAAGGGATTAAGGGGAGAGCTGCAGATAGGTGTAGCTTTGGGGACTAAATGAACTCTAACCGGGTTTACGGTTGCATATACCTCAATAGGA